ATAACTCGGGACTCGCACTGGGCGCGTAGGGGGGACGCGGGGCCAAAAGGTAGTTATATTTCTTGTCTGAGTATTTGAAAGGGGGCGAGGACGGCCGTTTTGGTTAAATCGACGCGGTTGTTGAGCAATAATACGATGCATTCGTTCGCGGTGCGCCTCGAATTTATCGAGGATACCTGGTGCAATGTGTCGAATAGTATCCCGTTCATGATCTAGAGGTTACCAGTACTGTAACCAGCAAAGGTAGTTACACTCTAGAGGTTACAAAAGGGGGTAAAATGGTTTAAGTTCGCGACCGGTCTAGGAGCCACCAGTACCATCCGGAGTAAATGTGATTGCCCTAGACTTTACGTGAGAAATAATTCCTTTAGTTAATCTCGTAGTGTGGTATTTTACCGACACCGTATTCTAAAAAACACGTCCGCGTTGAATCTGAGAGGGAAAATAGATTTGTCACTTTAGTATTTAAACTTGACTTACTTTTATTTTCGGTATGGAACGTACCCGTGCCGAACCAGCGCGAAGTGTCCGAAATCGAAGATTTCAAACCGCACTCGTGGAGGACCGTGGGATAACAGAGGCGGACTCTAACTATCCAGTCGACCGTTTGAGGGTCAAATTGAACTGTAATAATTTCTGTGCCTCCAGGCTCTTTTTATAAGGAGTAGCGGACCTCGACCACGCGCTGGCTGGAAAAAAACGCAGGAAAGCTTGCCGCTAAAAATTTTGGGGGAAAAGACAATATCCGAAGATCTAATTGGCTGGAGTTGCTCTAGTTTAGCCACTCAAAATTGGCACTTCCCACCTCTGGCTAGCTTTCCTACATGCGTCGAGAGAGGGAAAAGTGATTCACTCACTTGCACCCTTCCTTTCTCTTTTACATCAAGATTTTACAGATATTCCATGTTATTAAATATTAACCTTAGGATGACATATTGCTAAAATTTACTTAGACTAAGCATTGTTTGTATATTCAATTAAATTTATTGCGACAAGAGCGTTGAAAATCGCCCAATATTTCATGTAGGTGTTGACTGAATAATCGTTCACTGCGTTGCCATATTAATAATAGGGTTAGTATTAGTAATTTTTGCACATTAATAACTATAATAGTTGCTAGAGTTGCCAGATACATTAATCGAACTTGTTGATAGTCGGAAAGAGTAATTGTTAACAGTGGTTTAACCCTCCGGGAGGCCATGTTCCACGAACCCGACTTTTACGGGAGACCATGGGAGCTTGCGATTTGTCCTTGATAGCTCCTTGGACACCCTCAGAGCCAGGTTAGTAAGGAGGTCATTTTAAGGAAGGGGAAACCGCTGGCAGCGGCTCGACCGCAAGGCCTCGCGGAGCATGCAGCTTCACTGTTCACCCTGACAGTTTAGTCCGCACCTCTAACGGCAAAAGTTCGTGTGATAGAAGTATCTAAAAGTACGTTAGTTATTGCGATAGTATATTGTGTTTGGAAATTGACATGCAAGGGTCGGTAGTACAATAATTAAATTCTCTTGACCTTTGCATAACAAACAACAAATCTTTTGTTGTCCAGCCGTGTTAGGACGTTACCGGCGACGGCTTGAGGAGCCTTCAACTCAAGTCCGCCATTTTGGTGCACGGTTTTGTGAAGAAAGCAGGCATCTGCTGGAATTTTTGCTTGGTTTTTATGGGACCGCCACACTACGGTGAGTTACTATTGTTCTTTATCTGCCGCAAGGTGAGTCGGGTTGCATAATGTGAACGCTCTCGCCCCTCGACAGTATAAATGCTTATTAGATGCAATGCTAAAGATTCATTATTTTATTTTTTACAGGGGAATTAAAGAAGCATGTAGTTTTTGTATCAGACCTTATCATACATTGGATTTTACGTACGATGTTAATTTGTCCTATTTATTATGTCTTTTTCTATTTCATCATTGTCATCTGATACTTCAGTGCAGTTGCTTTTCTCCATTTGTCCAAGAGAAGTTCTTAATTGCGTATTGAACAAGCCTGTTGGAGACTTTCAAGTGTACTGACATCAGGACTAACAGATGCACTCCTCCCACTCGTATTGTCAAGATAGAAGACAAACAGTTAATCGGTCAGAAAAATTAACATTGGAGGCAAAATGGCAAGGCATAAATAATCACACATCTAAGTATTTACCACGCCAAATAATACTTAGCTTTACTTATCGACGAAGCTGACTCCACCACTACGTCACCGGGACGGTTAAATAATGGCACGAAAAGATGCGCTTTATAATTGCCAAGCGTTTTTTAGAAAAAAAATCGAAAGTTACTTATACTGCTACAGCACAGTGTTGCACTAGAATTATTGTTACGTAAATAAGGGCCAAAAATATTGTTTGATGGTTAAAAGCAGGGTCGCCAAACTATGGCCTTTAAATGCTAAGTGACACACTATTTGTGTAGAAAACAAATTTTACTAATACTGTCATCAGCCTATTTATAATTTTTCTGAAACAATTATTCTATATTAAAACATGAATGTAAGGGATGGAAAAAACTTATAAGTTACATCTAATTATTGCCCAATGTTTTTCATAGAAAAAATAACAAATTACTAATACTTCCTTTAAAAAAAAGTTAATAGAACTATTGTCTTTCAAATCAGTAAAATGAATATTATTTAATGTTTCAAAGAGCAATAGCAAAACTGCAGCTTAAACTGCAAGCTGCTGTTAGCTCTAAAATGATCTTTCGTTTTAAAATGTATAGGTTGCATGAAATGTCCAAGTTACAGTTCACAATCGCTTAACATTAATTTAAAAAAATGACGTTCTACTAATACTACACTTAGATAAAATGTGTTAATACACATGTTGTCTAACTAATTGTGACACTAAATATTTTAAAATTTGGTAATGCAGGGTCACATAACTGTGGCTTCTAACTACGAAGTGAAACATGAATATACATAATTTATTTAATTTTAAAAAAAAGGTAATTTAACTAATAGTGTCATAAGCATCTTTACGATTTCGCTAACGCAATGATCTCACGATAAAAAATGTAAAGGTCACAAAAAATTTCTAAGATGCAATGCATAATTGATGAGTGTTTAAACAAAAAAATGACCAGTTACTAATGCTTCTTTTAGAAAATATGTTAACAATTAATTAAGTAAAATGAAACCAACATAAGCAAAGTAATAACAGAATAACCTAATTATTTTTATAAAAAAGATAAGTACACTAATACTGTCACAACAGCATATTATGTATGATTTTGCCTACACAATAATCTCACGTTAAAACAGAAACTTCAAGGTTGCACGAAATTTCTAAGATGCAGTCTATGATTGCTAAATGTTTTTTAAATAAATAAAAAGTCCAGTTAGTAAAACTTCTTGAAATAATGAAATGTCATTAGAGTCATATTGTCTAATGAAGTAGCAAAAAAAGTATTTTTTAATGTTTCAAAGCAGGGTCGCGAAACTGCGGCTCGAAACTAGAAAATAGAACCGAAGTTAGGATAATCTGTGTAGGTATTTGTAGTGAAAACGAAAATTTTATTAATATTCTTATTAGTACATGCATAATTTTTCCTACAAAGTAACCTTACATGTCAATATTTAAGGGTCGCACGAAATTTCTTATTTGCATTTTACGATTGCCACGTATTAAAAAAAAAGAGCTATTTTTTATTACTGCGAAAACACAAAGTCGCACTAAAATCATTGTATTAAAAATTAGTGCGAAAAATTAACCAGACCTTGGCGGCGAAGCTCTGTATTATCATATAATTTTGGCCTTTTTTACAAAATTTTTACTCAAATATATCGAATTTTTGAACGTTCGATATTTCCACTAGTTCAATCAAGATAAAATGCAGTTTTAGCAACCGTGCATAAATTTATCCACTTGTTTAACAATAAATAATTGCTGATTATTCGTTCCATTAATTCGTTTATCCCTATGATTGATGTGACGATGAAGACCTAATGTGTCCTTTAATTTTTGCTACCTTGTAATGATAAACAGCAAACTTAGCGGTACCTACTGCCAGTACAACATGCAAGAGAAAAAAATTCCTTCGAGTTATAGCGTTTTCTTCCTTCTTCTTCTTCTTCAATCCGAATCGGAGTTTTTTTATAAAGGCAATTTTGAGTTAGCGCTTTCTTTGACTGAGATGTTTTATTATTTAATGCACAAGTATACATTTTTGTCACCGATGAAATAAACACCGTGATTTATCAATAACCAACAAATACCGGAAACATACAATTCACAAATATGGATATGACACGTATGGTCTACTATATGTATTATTTAGACTATTTTTAGTCGTTGTTAAACTTTTATACGGTTCAACTTTAATACGTACACGTAATTATTACTTTAAAGAAAATATGAGGTACCGCACCTGGTGTATTAAATTAAGTACTTAACAAAAAGTTTTTGGCGAGCCTCCGAAAGAAGGAACAGTGGCCATTCGGTCACTGAAGTGAACCAAAGTAATACATGTGTTGTAAAATTACATACGTGTATCAGCCGTATCAAGTATGTGTATATAAATTAATACGTGTACATAATATACATATCAGTGTACTTAATCATATGCAAAATCGCAAACGAAAGTTGGCGATTACTGGGACGAAACTCATGCCAAAAGTCATGTCAGGCCAATTGAAGATGCGTCCAAGAGTCAGCGCCACATTACGAACTCACCAATTTGGGATTTGCCATTTGCCCCATAGCACTAGCGCCACTGCCCTAGATTAATTTCCATAAAGTGGTGAGTTTCAAAAACGATGAGAGAAGGCTCATGACTGTCAGCGCCACCAGCTTGTCTATGCTTACACGTTGTGGCGTGATTCCAAAGTTTCGAGGGATGGCTCTCAAGGGCCGAGTCAGGCACCAAGCCGCGGCCAAGCTTGGCCCAAGCTTTCACCCACTTTCAGTTTCCACTCGAGGCAGTGGACTTTACTACACGAGCCGCATCGCTGATCGCGCGGCGCGCGCTCTGCTCTCGCATTCAAGTGTGCGTGTGCGTGTCCTAGTGTAGGTGTTCATGTACAATTTCGAGGATTTCGAGGGAATCGAGAAAAGGTCGAGTGTGTGCCGCCGCTCTCAAGTAGTGCGAAACAACAACAGAGAAAAATAAGTAGGCATAACTCCGGGAAGCCGAGAATTCCTCGCTGCACTGTGACGCGTGCAGCCAGCAGCAACGCCAAGGAGAGACACGATGCCCTCCAGCAACCCCCTGCCACCCAAGGAGCATGCCCTGTTCAAGAGGATCCTGGTGAGTAGGGACGAGAGTTACCCTCGACCTCGCACATCTCGTGTGCCTGTTCCCTGCTTCGGAGCCGTCGTGCACACGCGACACACCACAAGAGGTTGACACCTCGAGGCTCCGGCTTTACATTCCGGGCGAATGCACCGACTTTTCATTCACCCGACACTCCTGCCTTTTACCTCAATTTCTGCGCGACAGCGCGTGCACGCGTCTTACATGCAAGCTCATCGGTAGAACCTGTCGTCTGGTGCCTACGACCCCGGCCTAACCTCAAACACACTGTCTCTCTCTCTCTCTCTCTCTCACTCCCGACATCCAGCGTCGTCCCCGCCGCTGCTGCACGCTCGTCTGATGCTTAATATTGCACGCTGCACAATGAATCCTTACTTACCTTTCTCTATTCATTTTTTCCGATGGATGATCAACTCGAGCACCGTTCCCCGTGCTCTTATGTTTACTTATCTGTCCACTTGCTTGCTCATCCCCTAATGATGGAATGACAATTTAGTGCACCAATCGTGACAGTGGCTGATCACCAGGAATAACTCGTATTCTTTGCAGAAATGTTACGAGCACAAACAATACAAAACTGGGCTCAAGTTTGCCAAACAAATCCTGTCGAATCCCAAGTTCAGCGAGCATGGGGAGACCTTGGCGATGAAAGGTCTCACGCTGAATTGCTTGGGACGCAAAGAGGAAGCCTACGACCATGTGCGCCGGGGCCTTAGAAACGACCTGCAGTCGTCGGTCTGCTGGCACGTCTATGGCTTGCTTCAGAGGTCTGACAAAATGTATGACGAGGCCATCAAGTGCTACCGCAATGCTCTCAAGTGGGACAAGGATAATGTTCAGATCCTCAGGGATCTTTCTCTGTTGCAAATACAAATGCGCGACCTGGAAGGTTACAAGGTCTGCAATCGGTTATTGTTTTGCTTGTCATTTCTTTCATGCAGTGTCATCATGTTAGGTTATTGACATTGCAGGACACTCGGTATCACTTGTTTATGTTGAGACCAACGCACAAAGCTTCGTGGATCGGGTTTGCCATATCGTATCATCTATTAAAGGATTACGAGATGGCTTTGAAAATTTTAGATACATTTAGAAATTCTCCAATGGTGAGTAAATTTTGCAGTGTGTTATATAAGTTTTTGCCATTTCACGTCAAATGTAAATCCATCTCATTTATTAATTTCTATTGTTAATGTATCTTTTTACTGCAAAATAGTATTGTTATCGATTTTATAATGTGCCTGTAGATGTGCTACGACTATGAACACAGCGAGTTGCTTCTTTATCAAAACTTGGTAATTCAGGAATCAGGCAACAGTGAAGAAGCGTTGAAACACCTTGACAAGCATTGTGAACAAATATGTGACAAAATTACCGTAAAAGAAACGTATGGTAGGTTTTTTTTGCTTTTTTTTCGTAGCTACTAAAAAAATTTAATACTTAATGTCTATTTTTTGTAAAATTTTGTGGTATTAATAAAACTTGTGTTTTAGGTAAACTAAGACTTGCATTAGGACAATACACTGAAGCAATTAAAGTGTATAATGAACTTTTAGACATAAATCCTGAAAACAAAACATATTACATGAAATTAATAGAGGCTCAAAGACATGAAACAGCCGAGGTAACGTTGAAAATGTTGGAACATTATGAGTCTACGTTTCCACGTGCACTAGCCCCCCGAAGATTACAACTTAATTATGCTTCTGGAGAAAAGTTTAAAGAACTAGTGGATCATTACCTAAGAAGAGGTAAATCATTAAATTACTTGTTTAAACTATTTAAACGCTCACGTTAATCTTGTGACACTACTTAATCAATATATTTTGCTGAATTATTCTTTTTCAAATTGCTTGCCGACAATGTGTAGTACTCGTGTTAGAATTGAAATTTAGTTTAAAATCATGAAAATACAATTTTCAATTTCTTAAAAAACTTTGTTAAATGTGGATTGAAAAATGCATTCTCCATTCTGTTTCATGTTTTTACCTATTAAATATTTTGTGCAGGACTTCACAAAGGTGTCCCACCTCTATTCGTGGACCTACGGTCCCTGTACACGGACCAAAGTAAGGCTGACACCATACAATCATTAGTCCTACAATACAAAGAAGCCCTGAAAGCACATGGTCACTTTAGCGACGAAGACAAAGATAAGCCACGGGAGCCAGCGTCAGCTTTGCTGTGGACTTATTACTATCTTGCTCAGCATTATGATTTCCTGGGTGATACCAAAAAAGCATTAGATGAAATCGATGTTGCCATATGCCACACGCCTACGCTCATTGAACTTTTCGTTACCAAAGGACGAATTTATAAGGTAATTTGCTGCACTTATTAACTTTTTTACTCACCATCAAATTTTTCATCTTCATATCGATGGTATGTTCATTCTCCATACAAATCTCCTTATTTGATGAAAAATCTCAAGTTTTCATGGTTATCGTACAATTTTAGCATGCTGGTGATGCTCAAGAAGCATATAAACGGCTAGATGAAGCACAAGGTCTAGACACCGCGGATCGTTATATAAATTCAAAATGTGCCAAGTACATGCTTCGTGCAAATCTCGTGAAAGAAGCAGAAGAAACTTGCGGGAAGTTCACGAGAGAAGGAGTCTTGGCAATGGAAAATCTGAATGAAATGCAGTGCATGTGGATTCAGACAGAGGCAGCTAATGCCTACAAGCGTCTAGGAAAGTATGGCGATGCATTGAAGAAATGTCATGAAGTTGAAAGGGTAAGTTGGCGATCTTAACTCATTTACTACATTTATTTAAAGTTTTAATGAACGTATTGAGTGAACTTTAATATGCAACTGAAAATGTCGAGTACAAGTCGAAAGATTACTTATTAAATAAAAAACATAGTTGAAAAATATTTAATAATCAGAACTCTTTAGTTTATTTTTAAATATTGACTGTTTAAAAATGGTAAATCTTTCAATTAGGCAAGTACATCGAAAATCATCAAGCTTATAATCTAATGTGTGTAATTTCATTTTTGCTTCTAGCACTTTTCTGAAATAATCGAGGACCAATTTGATTTTCATTCTTACTGTATGCGCAAAATGACACTACGTTCCTACGTCGGTCTCCTGAGGTTAGAAGACGTGCTGCGATCGCATCCGTTTTACTTCAAGGCAGCAAAGTGTGCGATAGAGGTTTATCTCCGATTACACGATTACCCGTTACCAGATCCCACGCAAACGCAAGAAATCGACACTGGTGAGTCTTTGTCTTAACATTTATTTATTTGATTTAATTTCTTATTTCATTTATTATTATCATAATTTATGCCTCATCTCATATTTTTTCGGAGAATGAGGGTATAAGGATAAATTTATTACACAGATATTTAAAATTCAACCATGTTTACAATACAGGAATATGAATAGCAGGGTATTTGTTGTACAATTTATTTTCATGATTATTGTTTAGTAACTTGCATCCCTCGACAACACAATAAATTGGATTAAACACAGGTCTTAACTAAATTAGGTTATTATTCCATCCAAAAACGCTGTATATTACATGCGTTGATAAAATTACCACAATGCCAATACATTCTCTCGCTTATAGGCTTTTTATCTCAAAAGCGAGCAGAAATTGAAGTGCACCGCCCGGTGCACACGTAAGCCGAGATTTTTTTCCTCGCGCGAAATAAGACCTAAGAAAAAAAATCTCTTTCCAATGCGATTTACACACACACACACACACACACACACACACACTTGGGTTATTAATCACAGACGAGGCGCAAAGAGAAAAATTACCCACTAAAACGTCACAATCTCGACAATGCAAGAGTCCATTATTTGACACAACTCCTAGCACGGGAATCTTAGGAAATACAATATGATCATTGTTTAATAAGAATATAGTCAAGTGATTATGATAATAGTAGTAAACTCAAAAAGAGAAACTATGTACATAAGCAATAAATTACTCCTCTTTAGGTCGTGCTCGCGTAATATCACTACTCGCTCCTGTCTTTGAAAACTGTTAAACATATGGCATCCTATTGTAGCTAACATCGCGCCTCGCTATACACGTGCACACGCTTGATCGTCCGATCCACAACACTGGACTAATTTTGGAAAAACCACAACAACAACAACAATAACTATGATTGAGTCATTAAAACGACACAAGAGGAGACACGATTTGCAGCCCAGTTCCAAAATCGAAACTCCAGTGGTATACTCAGTCGCCGTCCCGGCCACGCCTCTGTCTGAGCAGCCTGCCCGAGCCAGCTGCCGCCCTCGGCCTCGACGAGAAGAGGTAGGCCGCGTTCGGGTCGTCGCGGCTAATGGCCTGCGGCGTGAGGAAGTAAAAGTGCCCGCCGTCCCCGGGCAGCCTGTAGGCAAAGTACGAGTTGGGCGGCTTGGCCGCCGCAGGAAGGAACTCGGTGTCCGGGTCGATCTGCGACCTCGGCTCCTTGTAGTTGGTCCCGAGCTCGGTACCCAGAGAGAGCGGCCGGCTCGGCTGCTGCTGCTGCTGATGGTGATAGGCCGGGCCGCGGGGGTCCGGGATCGGGACGAAGGGTGTCTGCTGTTGCTGGTCAAATCGCTGGCGTGGCAGTGGACCATAGTTCTGCAGAACCGCGGTGGGAGGCCGAGGCCGGTACTTTTGCAAGCCGATCACCGGATGGGGGACCAGGGGCGGCTGGGGTGTTTGTCCCAGCACCGCCGGTATGAACTCGGCGTCGGGCTCGATGGGCGGCAGTGGTCGTCTAAAGTTCACCAGGATGTCGTCCTTGAGGCTGCTGTAGGGCCCGGGTGTGTGGTCGCCGTAATGTACCTTGACGTTTTGAGGTGCCCGGAAGGCGTTGGGCTGGCGCGCGCTCGCGTAATCGTCGACGCTGTTGGCGCTACTGCTGCTGATGTAGGTCGCCGGCCGCTCCGTCACAACGCTGGATTTGCCGTAGATGGGCGTGGTACTGGACACTAGTCTGTTGCCAAGGACGCCACCTCCAGATAACTTTTTTCCAAACATCGTGAAATACTCCTTGGTGACGTCGTCGAGGAGCTGCTCGTCCTGCTTGGTGAAGTACTGCTGGTGGGAGGCGAGGGTGGTGTCGCGCACTGGAGACACCGTAGTCGACTGTAGCCGCTGTTGATAGTACGTCAATGGTGGCCTCACGGGCCTCTTCTGGCTCTGGGGCCTCAAATACCCGATGGGTAGGTTCCTCTCGGTCTGAAGCGGCTCGCTGCCCTCGTAATCATACTGAGGTTGCTGCTGTTGTTGCTGTTGTTGCTGCTGCTGCTGCTGCTGCTGCTGCTGCTCCTCCTCGCCACTCACCACCTGGATGTCCTGGTACTCGGTGTAAATCGGCGGCAGCTCTTTCTGGCGCCTCGGCTGCTGTTGCTGCTGGAGCGGCTCGTCGAGTAGCAGCTGCTGCTGAGGAAGCTTGGACAAGGAGCCGATCTGCCGACCCCGCTTGTAGTTTGTCGCCTCGAAGCTGTACTGGTAGATGGGCTTGGGCTTGTTTGGCGTCTTTTTGCCGCTGCCAGTGCCCTCGTAGGACTCAACCTTGCCACCCGTCGACTCCACTGCCGCTGCTGGTCTGCGGTAGTACGCCTTGGGCTTGGGACTCGTGAAGTAGCTCAGCTTGGGCGAGGGTCGCGTCGGCACGGGCTGGTAGTACATCGGCTCCGAGTGGAGCATGCGCGGGCTCTGGTGGTGATCGTTGCGCGCCGGCGTCTCCGCGGCCTCGTACTTGTCCTGGCTGCTCGTGGCACCCGAGTCGAGGTAGCGGTAGATCTGCGGGTCCTTGACGATCGAGTCCAGCAACTTGACGCTGTAGTCCCTAGAGGGGTCTGGTCGCGACGGGATCATCTCGACGTCGTAGTAGTCCTCCTTCTTGGCCGAATCTCGCTCCGTCTCCTCCTGCTTGTAATACGGTGGCGGCGTCTCTGCCGTGGTGCTGAAAAAGACGATGGGCTCCGGCGTCGAGGTGGGCGGTGGCTGTTGCCCCGTTCCCTCGTTGTTGTTGTTGTTGTTGTTGTTGTTGTTGTTGTTGTTACTGCTCTCCTCGTAAAAGTAGTAGGAGGCCTGGTGTCCGGGCCCCACATTGGGATTCTCAGTCCTGAGGACGCTGCTCTTGACGGCCGCTGCAGGAGTCGTTTCGACCGGCTGCTCTATCGACGAAGGCGTCGTCGTGCTCCCGAAGAAGGCACTCCTCCAGGGCTTCTCGGTACTGCCATCACCCTCGACCAGGAGCACCTGATTGCTGCTGATCGCCGGCTGGATCACCTGGCGCATGTACTGCTCCTCCTCGAGGCCGTTGCTCGGCTGAGTCGTCACCTCGACGAAACTCGGCAGGTAGGACGTCCGGTGGTAAGCCGGGGCGCTGGTGTTTTTGTACTTTGGCCTGATCTGGGCGTACTTTGTGTTGTAGGCCACGGTCTTGGAGCCGACAACCGGAGCCGAAGTCACGGAGGGCGTCTTGTACAGCTTCGTGCTCGGCTTCCTCGGGGGCACCTTACCATACGGCAACGGGGTCGTGGGCGGCCTCGTAGGAGGAGGAGGCTTTGATTTGGTCGTCGTTGTGGTCGTGGTCGTCGTAGTGACCGTGCTCTTCTTGTCGTCGAGGGCGGAGAAAAAGTCGGGTGGCGGAGGCAGGATGATGCCCGGCACGAGGGGCCCCGGTGGTATGTTGGTCGAGGCATTGAGATCCGGCGAGTAGACGAAGCTGTAAGGCGGCGGGTAGTACATGGACTGGTCCTCGTCGTCGTAGTCCGTCTGATTGCTCGGTGGCGGCACTATCACGGCCCCAGGAGGCAACGAGGCGTAGAACGGGCCCGGGAGCGGTGGTAGCAGGCTTCCCTCGGCCTTGGCGGTCTTCTCCGGTTGCAAGACGCTTATGGCCGACGAGAGATTAGTCAGGGGGAAGTAGGGCCCCTCGCCCGGAAGAAAGCCCTTGAAACCCTCGGGCAGGGCCTCGAAGTCGATGGTCCCGTTGTCGTCGACGACGCTGCTCCCATTGGGGCCGATCAACTGGACGGGCCCGCCCTCGGTCAATTGCACGGGAAAGGGCGGTGGTACCCTTGGCCGGTGGGGTATCTTGACCTGCCGGTGGGGTGCCTCGTAATCGTCGATCGGCCCCCAGCTCGACGGCGGTGATGGCTGGTTGTGTTGGGCGTGCGGGTGGTCGGCCGCCTTGGGAAATTTGCCGCCCTTGATGACGAGCACGTGGTCCTCGGCCAGCCAGATTTCCTCCTCGTCGAGGCCCCCGAGGTTGTTGACGTTGTCGCGCGGCACCTCGGGGTTGGCCGCGTAGCTGATGATGCCCGGCCGTCCGGGCTGCTCGGCGAACAGCTCGTTCTGGATCAAGCCATACTTACCCTCCTTCACCTGCTGGGACAGCGTCTTCTTGTCATCGTCGTTGTCGTCGCCGCCGCTCGCCGAGCTCTTCTTCTCCTTGCCCGCCCCAGCCGAGGAGAGCAGCAGGCCATCCTCGAGGAGCGCGTTCGAGTCTTTGTCTTCGGCGCGCAGGTGGCCACCCATCAGCATGTGCGGAGACGACGACGACTTCTTCCTCGCCAGCTCCGTGGAGGCGAGCTCGTTGTGCCGGCTGGGCAGTTTACGGGGCAGTCGGACCCTCTGCTGCTGTTGGCTGGGTCGTGGGTGCCTGGCGCCATCGCTGCCATCGATCGCGATGGCCGAGATCGAGAGCAGCACCAGCAGCAGCGCCACGAGGCAGCTCCTCCCCGCTAACCGCGGCACCATCTACAACACACAACAAGAGAGAGAGAGAGTATAGAGTGATTTATTCGGATAATGTTGAATCAATTGATCGCCTGGCCCGAGATGGATTCCACAATTAAACGATGCCGTTTCTATATTCAGGGAGCTTCTGCGAGTCCGAATCGAGCGAGATTTACGCTACGCGGTCGCCAACTGGTTCTGCGAGCGAGGGAACAAAAACAAAATACTCGATCTTGGGCAAAAACGATCATTTAATTATGACGAAGACTCGGCATACAAAGGAGATTAAAGTCTTTTCCCCCCTTCATTAACACGTGAATCAAAAACGGTCCTTTTCTTTCGCGTACCGACGAGGAAACCCCCGACAGGATTCTCCTCTTGGGAGCTCTGTTGTTGCTGTTATTCCCGTCTATTATAACACATTGACTCTTCACTTTTTGCATCTGCTTGTTCAACATTTATGTATATATTTACCCACTGCGAAACAACGGGCGACTTAATTTTCTCGTCACGTG